ACCCTGAGGTTATGTTGTAAAAAGTCGTTTACGCTAGTTGTGCCTCTCGCGGTCCTGTGGTTCAAGGCTTTAAGAAACAAACCCCAACGCCTAGAGGTTCCCCGCAGCCGTGCGGGGTGTGCTGGCGCTGGGCGGGAGCAGAGCGAGTCACCTCCTGCCGAGCGAAGTTGTGCTCTGCGCTGAGGTGCTTCGTGGCTTTCTGATGGAATGGTTTGCTCCGTAGTTCGGTGTTACGGCTACATCAACCCCTGCACTGTAAGTGTCAATGAACTGCTGCTGTCCCCTAGCAGAGAAGCAGAGCATGTGTGTGTGTTTTCCAGGTGTGACAGCTTCACGCTCAGCATGGCGAAGGAACAAGTTTCCAAACGTTTATATGTTGGAGGGCTTGGCCCTGCGGTTTCCAAGGCTGAGCTGGAAGAAAGATTTGGCAAGTTTGGGCGTGTTTTGGATGCAGAGATTATTACCAGAAAAGATGATCAGGGTAATAGTTTTGCTTTATTCTTGATAAGTTAATTGCTTGGCAATTTGAAGTATGAAATGGAGTTTTTGTTTCAACTTTAAAGGAAACACTGAAACTGTGTAGAAATTAACTGCATGTTTATCATTGCTCAGGGAACCCTATGAAAACTTTTGCTTACCTCAGTGTCAGCATTTCTGATGAAGATCTTAAAAGGTGTAAGTACATCTCTTTTTTTTTAAGTAATTCATGGTTTTGAGCCAAGTTGCATTACTGGTATTTCACCTAATGTTGTCACATCAGGTTGTGGTCAAGACAGAGCCTATTTCATTCTGTTGTCATTAATTTCATTTTCTTTAATCTGTAATTGTATGGAAGCTGCTTTGCTGGAGTTTTCAGAAATTGATGTAAGCAGTTTGAAAAGAGTTCTTGTGACTGAAATAGGTGATTTGTGAGTGTCATAGAATCACAGACTGGTTTGGGTTGAAAGGACCTTAAAGCTCATCTGGTTCTAACCCCCTGTTGTGGGCAGGGACACCTCCCACCAGCCCAGGTTTCTCCAAGCCCCATCCAGACTGGCCTAGAACACTTCCAGGGATGGGACAGCCATAGCTGCTCTGGGCAACCTGTTACTTTGTTCAACCCTTTTATTAGAAGGTATAGGAAATGTTTGTCAGATGCTTTCATCAGGTCCCTAAAATATGGGAATGAGTTGAGGTGAGAGGAGAGCCAGAAGGAGAGCCCATGTCACACACACTACTGTTACAGCCAAGGAGCATTCCCAAAGTAGCTGGATTACAAAATGACTTGCAGAGTTAGAAAGATACTTGGTAAATATGTAGCAGCAAAATGATATGTGAAGATACCTGTACTCAACAAGAGGGATTGTAATATATCTTTTTATCTAGGGAATGCTGCCATTAGGAGCAGGAGTGCTGAGAGTGACTAAGAGCACACCAAACCCTTGATATTTAGGTTAAGTTCCATACAACACTTTTCCTTCTGGTTTTCAGTACTCTTTAACTGTCCTTTTCAAAGTGCACAAGAAGTGAAGGTGAGGACAGCCTGTCTGACAGCAGTGTAGAAACTTTAAGACATACTTATCTACATTTTCAGATTTGTGTTTAAAACATACCAAACAGACTTGAATGACTCTCTTGAAGTGAGAACTTTGATTTTGGATATAGATCTTCTCATTTAAGATTTGGGTATTAGACCTTACATGTACAAATTTACATCAAGTGAACTGTGAGGTATAAGATCATGCTGAAGAAACCTCAGGCTGTCATAGGAGACATAGTGAAGTCCAGGGTGTGCTTTTTTGATGTAGAAAATACTCATTTCCCTTCTCTTTGTTTTGCAGGCAAGTCAGTTTTAAATAAAACCAAATGGAAAGGGGGAACACTGCAAATCGAGTTGGCCAAGGAAAGCTTTTTGCACAGGTAAAAATCAGTTCTTAACAGTGTATGTTGTTGCTAAAGTTACCCTTTTTCTGCTTGTCTGATAATGTTATGGTTGTGCTTTCATATTCTATACTCTTATGCTTTCAGTATTTATAGCCACTGTTGGACTGTTGATGTATATTTAATACTACAACATGTTTTCCAGCATTAGTCCCTTAAATGCAGATGCTAATTCCCTGAATAGTGGATGGTTGCTGGAGGGGTCACTGCCAGCTATAATTCAGCACAAATTTGGACCTTTTTTTCATGTATGGTATACTTTTTGGTACAGACTTGCCATGGAGAGGGAGGAGGCAAAGCTGCAGAAAGAGAAACCACAGAGAAATGACAAAACACGTGTGTTGGAATCTCTGAAACAGAATGGAGTTGTGGACTTTCACATGAAAGCAGTGCCAGGTACAGAGGTGCCAGACCATAAGGTATGGTGGGGTGCATGTAAGAGAGAATTAAACCAACAGAAACCAGAACTGGGCACAAGCTTATTGCCTCTAAATTTATGCCAAATCTCTATGTGTTGAGTAAAGAAACTTAGTAATTAAGGGTGGCAGTCTAAGTTGTGAGAAGTAGTCTGAAGAAATGCCTTGTGTAGACACGTAGAAGGCTCCTGTCATTCCCTGAAACGTCTGGAAATAATCTTGATCATACTGTCATCTCATGTCATGTTCAATTAGTAAATGCTTTGTTACTCCTGTATGTTGGGAATATCTTCATGTCTCACTTAAAAGCTTGTAAAGAAAATGTGTCTTATTTCTGTACAGCACATACTGTTTTGGTGGCTGAGCTGTCAGGATCTAACCTCTGTGCACATTCAGAGTCAGGGGCTGCACATGCTTACAAAGGGAAGAATCAAATCATTGAACATGCAAATTTAGGTGACAAAAATTAGATTTACTACAAAGTTCTCAAAATTATTTGCTCAGCAGGGAATGATTTTGGAGGGTTTGGTTTTTTTTGGGTTTTTTTTTTTTTGGTTTTTTGTGGGGTTTTTTTTGGTGAGAAAGGGGAAAAGAACAAAGCAAGTGATCCTGTCTGTAGTCACCACTGTTAATTCATAAACCAGGAGCCTTATGTTAAAAATTGTACTTGTAAAGAGATTTGGTTGTTTATTAGCAGGTTGTAGAGGTTTGGTTTTTGTTTCTTTTCTGAGAAGGAGGCTGGCCAAGTTGCACAGGAGGGCTATATCTCAGTAAAGAGAGTAAACAGAACAGAATTAGTCACAGGTGGATCTTTATTAGTGTTCTTGTTATCCAAGAATAAACATCATCTGTTCCAGGGTTACTTCCACCTCTTTTTAAACACTGATTATTTTTCTTTTCTTTTAGAAATGGGTCGTTGGCAAATTTGGCAGAGTTTTGCCTGTCCTGCATCTTAGGAATCAACAAAAAAAGAAAATATCCTTTTCCTATTGTTTGGGCATATGCACTATTCCCTTCCTTCTTTTGTTATATGGAGGAACGCTTGCTTAACAGCCTTAATCTTGATTACTATGTCAGACTTAACTTACTGAATCTCTTGAGAAAATCTTGCTCTACGTTTGTGTGATTTGAATCAGTTTTTATAGTGCAAGTCAGTTGCCTCAAGGCTTATGGTCGCAACATGCAAAAGGACTCTTTGCTGTCCTGTCCCACAGAATCCAGACTGCTTGCTGGGGGAGTCATGTTTTCATTCCTTAACTCAGACTAACATTGTGAAATATGACCCATCAAAATATTGCCATAACCTTAGAAAGCTGGAGCTAGACTTGACACACACAGTTCCTGTGTCTGAGCTCACCTGGCACTTGGGAGGGACGGATGACAGCACAAGCAGGAAGCGTCAAAGAGAGTTCCCTGGAACCAGGAAACCACCTAAAAAGCTGAGGCCACTGGGCATCGAGGCTCAGAATGGAGCAGCAGCTCTCCCCTCTGGGTGTCAGTCACATTCGAAATACGCAGGCTCACCACAGCTCAATCAGAGATCAAAATCCAAACCCAGTGAGAAGTCTGAACTGCCTCCAACAAAGAGTCTTAGTAGTGAAATATCAGGGAGAGTTTTCTTATCAGATCAAAGCAATGTTAATGGATTTGCAGCTCAGAGTGATACAAGTGTTTCTGACAGTGACATTGATTCTGAGGAGGAGATCAGAGCAATGGTAAAGAAAGAGGCAGAGGTACAGAAAGCTGAAAATGTTGAGACTGAAAGTGATCACTTGGAAATTGTTGCAGATAATTTTGAATTAAAATACAATACTCACTGGTCCTTCAGCAATCCAGATGCCTCGGAGAAAGCTATCAAAGGAAGTTCTAGAGAGACTAGAGAATGTGATAATGGTTATGATTCAGCAGATACAGATGAAATTATTGCTGAAAGTAAAACTCCAGATCTCAAGAGCAGGAAAACTGCAATTTGTGAAGATTCTAAACACGTGAAGGTAGAAAATAAAGAACTGTTAACTAATGAAAAATGTGATTTAATAAATGACTCCTCACTGAAAACTTGCAGTTTAAAAGAACACATTAAAAGGAAAGGGAAACATAAAAAATCCCAAATTGCTGTCCTGCAGAGTACAGCAGCTGGCAGTACAACAGACACAGGGGAGAGTGAAAGCTCTTGTTCAGAGGCTGAAGTCAGTTCTGACTATGAGTCCATGATGCAAAACTGTTACCGCTTAGACCTTAGTTTAGATGACTTAAAAGCATTAGCTACTGAAAGCACTGGGACAACAAAGGAATCAGATAGTGCACAAAGCTCTGGTCAGTCCAGTGCTGAAGAAAATCCCAAAGGTAATGTAAATAAATCAAAACTTTCTAAATTTCACCCTGCAATTAAAACAAAAAGCATCTGCCCTGAAGATGTGTTGGCTGATATTTTAGCAGGGGAGGAGAATGCTGATGAGGAAAGCTCCAAGGGACCAAGTAATTCAGGGTTGAAATATCAGCCCTTCAGAGGAATGGGGTCCCTTTGTTGGAATGAGTTATCTAAGGACAGCACTGACTTAAAGGAGAGGTCTTTAACAGTTGAAGCTTGTACGTATTGTGGGGAGGAGTCACCAGAAAAACAACCTAAGAACCATCCGTTGTGTCCACTTGGAGTGAGTAGCAAAAAGCGACAGAAGAAGCCTCATGCACAGCCCGAGGAGCTGTCAGCTGCTGCCTCCTTACCAGCTGGGAGATGTCAGCCTGTTTCCAGGCCACGTTTACAGGGAAAGAACAAAGATGTGACTTCTCTACGAGATGACCGAAGTTCAGAGCGTGGAACTGGTGCTCCCAGTACTGACGAGAGTGACCACAGGAGCAGCGACACAGACAGTGATGCTGCAGGGACCCAGAAGCACATTAAACAGCAACAGAGAAACCCAAAACTGCTTCCCAAAAAATTGAAGAGGAATGTAAGCAATAAAAATCCAGAATGTGAGGGTAATAACTGTGAGAGTGGGAAGAGAAGCTTGGAAGATAAGGAGCTTCATCTTCGTGCTGCTGCTTCAAAGGAGCCCAGTACCACAGAGAAACAGTTGCAGGATAACCAGAGGAGGCTGGCAGCTCTGCAGGAGAGACAGCGAGAGAGGGAACTGCAGAAGAAACTCATTCAAGGAGCTCTTTCAAATGTGGTAAATACACTCATACCTTCTATCTGAATAGTCCACAATACAAGGAAAAGGGAAGTTGATACATACGGAATAAGATACTTTAAAATCATGTTCTGGAATTTCTGGTTACATTGCCAGTATACAGTATATAAAATGTTGCATCCCTAATCCCCTGAGAGTTGCAAAAGGTGTAGTGGATTCCTCCTTTCATGTTGTGGAAAAGTGTTCTAGATACTTATGTATGGCTGCAGCAAACATTTGGTGTGTTTGACTTGACAGTTTCTCTCTCTCTCATAGGACAGACAGCCAGCAGGCAAGCAGAAACACATCATATTTGATTCAGATGTGGAGAATGAAGCTGAAGTAGATGAGCTGTTGAAGAAACATGCAAGTTTGGGAAATAGGCATGGAGAAGTAAGTGTTAGTAGGAAAAAGTCCAGTGTGACTCTGACTTTTCTTCTGAAGACTACCTTTCATAGTGCAGCAACAGGAAAAAGGTAGCTAAGTTTTTTGAATTAGTATGAGTGATTCTTCTTTTTGTGCTAACATCAGGCAGGTTTCAAAGAACTTAACCATGCATCTGAGAAAGCTGGAGAACTTGGAGAATTTGTAAGAAGACTGATACATGTATAAAAGATATTCTAAGTTTAAAAGAATGTTTGTGTAATTAGTTTTGAAATTCCTTTGCTTGTAGCCAAAGGAAAGATATTTGGCTTGAGTAGTATAGATCTACTCTGCTCTTTCCAGCACTGTGGACAAACAATCTGTATTAATGCAGTATAAGGGCCAAAGGTGCTATGTGGGGCTTCTCTTTGCTCCTGTTTAGCAGACTCCTCAGGATCTTGCTGCCATACTTTCAGCACAATTGAATAGTTTTTATTTCTGGAATAGAACTTCTTGTGTGAGCACATTTTTTAGTCACATCTCTGCTAAAGCTTTGAACCATTGGGTTTGCATTTGTTGGGTTTTTGCTGCTTAAATGTGGTAAGGTTAGAACTGTTCTCACTATTCCATTAGCCATTGGTATTTTTAAATTGGTGTCCATTGATATAGTCAGAAAGTTGGATTTTTATGCTTAACTATCTCATGCTGTAAAACCTGAATTACCCTTTACATGGGTATTTGGCTGTGGTAAAATTTAATAGCCATAACTGTAAAGTGGAATTACACAAGTGTGTGTGGAAGGTAAGATTTGAAGCATGTAGATCAGTCAGTGAGATGGTTGTGCCAGAAATCTACTGTTTCAGATAAACTGGAAAACACACAGCAAAGTTGGTACTGATTTATATTTTCAAACTTCTGTAAGCAGCTGCTTTTCTGTTTTTTCTTTTTGTTTAACAAAGGATAAAGCTGCTCCTAAACCTTCAGGCAAACTGTTTGAAAGCAGTGAGGATGAGCAAGGTGATACGGACGATGAGCGATTCAAAATTAAGCCCCAGTTTGAAGGCAAAGCTGGTGAAAAAGTGAGTGAACCTGTTACCGGGATTTAGTTTTCTTCTAAGTCTCCATAACACCACTTCAGAAAAACACAACTTGTAGGATTGCATGCTTGCCCAATGTGGTTTTCATGAAGTGACAAGAGCATTCCATTAAATAAAGGGAGTAACGCGTGGTGGGGAGTGGGAGCAGTTTCTCAGACATTGTCCTCTTTGTATACAAAGAAATACCTGGAAAAGGCATCAAGAGCTAAAGGCTATTAGTGTGTTGCCATAGTTACAGTAAAGAAATTTTTTAAAAGCTGCTGAATGTTGATGATTTCCTTCTCCAGTGCTTAATAGCAGCTGTTTAATTTGTTTAGCTCTTGAGGCTGCAGTCACGATTTGGCGCAGACGAAAGATTCCGCATGGACGCTCGATTCCTTGAGAGTGACAGTGAAGAAGAAGGTAAAGCTGTTCCTGTTAACCTGTTAGTGGTAGTACTGGAGCCATCATGGAACTTTCATTTCTGGATGCTTGAAGCAGCTCCTGAATTGCTTTTGCTTCTTTGGTGATTCCTTAAAGAGAACAACCCAGCTCTGTAGTGGCTGTGCACAGTAAATACTGGTAGCTGTGTTTTCTTCAAGGTGTATGGTGCAAAAGTATTTGTAGCTTCTGAATGAGGGTTATGTGGTTGATAATTCAACATTTGAAAATACTTTTTAATACAGCATGATGTCAGAATGTGTTTATTCACGTTTTTCACAGGGTAAGTGGTGACTTATTAAACTCAGCTTTTTGACCATGACAGTTTATACTGTTTGGTAGTCACCCTGCAATCCATCACTGATTTGGCAGCCTTAGAAAGAAAGGTTTATTTTTTCATTTTGCTTTAACAACAGAAAGCAGAAAAGCTGATAAAGACAAAACCATTTAAATATTTCTCCCCTTGCCTTCCAAAAAAGAAATTTTTAACCAGTTTCCAAGACATTTTTGCTCCTCCCTTCATTGCTTTAATGTGAACTTCTGTAGAACATCTGTCAGTGGCAGAGTAGTTGCACAGTTACGTGATATAAGCAGGGAACAGGTTAAATAACTGATCTGACTTCATGTGAAATAGATGCCTGTGACATTTTTAATCAGAGATTTTCTACAGTGCAAGGGAGAAAGTAGCTTTAAGATCAAGGAGGTGATGTGTTGATAGATATGAGATCTCCTAGTACTGTAGTCATGTTATGCATAGAATGTTAAGGGGTTGGAATGGACTTTAGAGATCATGCAGTCCCATCCCTCCCACCAGAGCAGGTTGTTCAAGGCTTTAGCCAACCTGGCTGTGAACATTGCCAGGGTTGGGGCAGCCACAGCCTCCCTGGGCAACCTGTGCCAGTGTCTCACCACCTTCACGTTGAAAAATTTCTTTCTAATTCCTAATCTAAATTTCCCTCTTTCAATTTATCCCCATTACTCCTTGTCCTGTCACTCCAGTTCCTAACAAAGAGTCCCTCTCCAGCTTCTCTGTAGCCCTTTCAGATTCTGGAAGGTGCTGCAGTCCTCTTACCAGCTTTGTGGCCTCCTCTGGACTTGCTCCAACAGTTCCATGTACTTCTTATGCTGTGAACACTGGAACTATGTGCACTATTCCAGATAGGGCCTCACAAGAGCAGAGTAGAGGGGCAGAATCACCTCCTTCACCTGCTGCCCACATTCCTGTGGATGCAGCCCAGGATTGGGTTGGCTTTCTGGCATCAAGTATTACAGGCTTAGGCAGGTCATGGCAGGGAAAATACATTATATTTTTCTCTTAGCAGAGACAAACAGCTTGAAGGCAGAGGAGGAAGAAGAGTTTGCTGCAGAGAAAAAGAAAAATCTGGAAATACTGGGAAGCCTCATGAATATCAACCTGGAACAGCCTAAGCCAACTAAAACAACGTCAAGTGCGAAGAAATTCAAGTATGGATCACTGGTTATCAGTAAAGAAGGAGTTTTAGGAAGGGACACTTGTTTCCCTTTTGAAGTCAGCCTTCAATGCAGTTTCCCAGCTTGTGTCCCCCAATAGATTATCCATTGTCATTATTCTAGGGAAAAAAGTATCAGATGCCTCCTTGAGTTTCTTCAAGTAGAATTTGAATTATTGGATTGTTGGATATGAAAATTAGTGTTTTAATGAGTCTTTGCCTGTATAAGATATATTTCTGTTCTCTGTGGAGACAAACTCAAGGTAGGTAAACAACATATGAGTTAGGCAGGAGGTCAGTGAGTTAAACTCCAACTTCCATAGCAGGTTTTCACTGTTTCACTGGGTTTTTCACTGTTTACCTGTATTCCTGCTTTTGAGAAATTTCTTTATTAGCTTAGGAATTAGTTACATGTTGCTGTAGGGTGTACTCCAGCCTTCATTAAAGGACGATGGAAAGGAGCCTTGGAAATGTCCTGTTGGAAGTATGCTGCCACTTAACTGTGCATTTGAACAGAAATTGGTCTGTGGGCTGTATTGGTGGAAGTTAGTGTTAGGGGCAATGCAGGAGTGTGCAATTAGTACATTTTTACTACCAGTCACCATTGCACTTGCATGTTTGCTGCTGACTGCTAAATACCACTGTGACTGCTGCACAGTCACATTGGATTCTGACTTCTGTACAAATTTTCATGTATTTTCTGAAGATGAAGCAGGTGGAGAAATAATCTGTGCAACCCCAGAGCGATTCATTTGTGCTGTAAGCATTGATTTAGGGAGAGGAGGGCAAATAAGTCATAGAATCTCAGAATTTAGGGGTTGGAATGGACCTTACAGATCATCTAGTCCCAACCCCCTGCCCTGGACAGGGACACCTCACTAGGTCAGGTTACTCCAGGCCTCATCCAGCCTTGAACACTGCCAGGGTTGGGGCAGCCACAGCCTCCCTGGGCAACCTGTGCCAGTGCCTCACCACCCTTACAGTAAAAACCTGTTCTCACATCCAACCTAGACATTCCCTCCTTCAGTTTGAACCCATTACCCCTTGTCCTATCACTGCAGTTCCTAACACAGAGTCCCTCTCCAGCTCCCTTGTAGCCCCTTCAGATACTGAAAAGTTGCTCTGAGGTCTCCACGCAGTCTTCTCTTCTCCAGGCTGAACAGCCTATTCTTCCTCAGCCTGTCTTCTTAGGGGAGATGCTCCAGTCCTCTTAGCAACTTCGTGGCCTCCTCTGGCCTTGCTCCAACAGTTCCATGTCCTCCTTACGTTGAAAGTGGTTACCTTCTTGCATTGCTGTAATGCAGCATGGGCTTTGCTAACTAGGATTGGGGGTCAGTCTAAACCTTAGACTGCATTAGCTGCAAGGCCCTGAAATGTTTTAAGTTTTGAAAGATGGGCATAGTGCATTCTTGCTTGTTGATCTTGGTTTTTTTCTTCCCTTGGACTGTTTGAATTTATGCAATGTTTGGTACTAATAGAAATAGATTTATGGACAACTGTATTTATATAGCTCCTCAAATGATGAACAGCTTCAGCTATAAACTTACTGCATGACACAAATTAGGGCTGTGTTTTATATGAAATATTACAATTGGATTGAATCCACTTCTGTTTAAAATTGTTTCTGACACAGACACTGACCAGCAGGCACTTCCTAAATGCCAGTGATATTTTGGATTGATTTGGAGTTTTCTTTGGTAAAGAAGCCAATGTGAATTTGAATCTGACTGTAAAGGTTTGGGGGTAGCTTTCAGTTGAGAATTTAGAATGTCTCATGGTTTTCCCTTTCCTTTCTGTTTTTATAGAGACATTAATGCTCTTCGCTATGACCCCACAAGACAGGACCATGCCATTTTTGAAAGGAAACCAAGTGCTGCAGAAAAACAGAGGTAGCATTACAGCTTGGTAACTATAGTTGTGGTGTTTCTTCCTGTAAAAAGATTGTAGTGGAAGACTGAGTGGGAAACTATGCAGACTGCTCTGGTTTTTCTTTTTCTGGTTTTCTCCGTGATTGCTAAAATCAAGATGTAATAGGAATTGTGATCACTAAAACCAGCATGTAATGTCATCTTTTCTTTTCAGTCCCTCTATTCTCTGCTTGCCATTTTCTGTCCTTCTTTCTCACCTTCTGTGAGAAGTGTCAAGTCATGGACTTGAAGATTTCCAAATCTGTGAGAAAAGCGTATTAGCTCTTAACACTTCTTTTGCCAGAAAACAAATCTGTGCTAAATCTCTTAATTTATATGCTATCACATATGAAGTGAAAAGTCACTTAAGGATGTGGTTTATTATACATTAGACTTGTTCCTGCCTTTAGAATCAAACCTTAGCTGTTTCCCCACTGCTTACCCTCAAGGAGGGGTAAATTACAGGAGGTAAAAAGAAACAGGTGAGAAGTCTAAAACCAAAGGATAGTTGTGCTGCCCTATAAACCTGTTTCTGGCAACAGAAATATCCTATTGCCAGAACCTGAAATTGCTAAGATAGAGTAAAAAGAAAAAAACAAAGCAACACAAACCTAAAGATTAAAAGTGAACTACTCATTAATGTGCATAGAAAGGCATTAAGAGCAAGGTGGCCTGTTGGGGAGACTTTCTTTTAGAAATGGGTATGCTGTGTTGCTATCCTTTAACCATCTCATTGCAGTAAAGCTAAAAAGAAGAAGAAGGAAGAGAATGAGAAAGTGCCTCAAGTGTCTGAAGAAACTTATTATGACATTGCTGGTGATTTAAAAGAGTTATTTGAATCTTCAAAGAGCAAATCAGAAAACAAAGAAGAAATACCCTGGGACAAAGATGATGTGGAGGACTCTGCTTCACCTGATCATTTGGGACCTAAGTCTGGGAGTAACATAGCTGAGGAGTCAAGTGGTTTCAAGTTTTCCTTCTTTGGAGACATGGAGGAGTCAGGCAGAAAAGAAGGTAACAGCAGAACATATGTAATAGTGCAGTTTCTAGTGAGTAGCTTATGTCAGGCACTGTAGAGTAATGTGGTGTATAGACATTAAAATCCAGGGGATTTTTAGAGGCAGAAGTCAGTAACTAGGCAGAATCATGATACATGCCAAGAGTGTTGTGGTTTAATCAGAGTTTACTCCTGCTTGCATCCCAGGGGTTTCCAAAGGGATGTTTTGAGAAGGAAAGACTTATTTAATTGGTTGTTTGAACAGTGATGGAAAAACCTGTTGTCATCCACCAGCTTGCTCAGACATAGAAAGAGGTGATACACAAGTCAAATCAAGTTTCATATAACCCCACAAGATTTTAAATAAAATATGTTAATGTAGTATTATGAGCCAAAGAAAATCTAAGAGTTGACCCCAAGAATGTTCAAGAACATTTTGTTATTTACATGATTTTATTATTGTACCTTGAGAAAGCTGAAGCTGAATGACACGTGACTATTGGGGTGTCCTAACCCAAGATAAATCTAAGTGCTACAAGATCAAGATTAAAAAATATTAAATCAAGGTAATGTAGAAATAAAAAAAACTGTGTGAACTGAAATATATTTTAAAAAAAAAAAGCCCACCTCGAAGCAACAAGCCCTGCATTTCTGCTGACTTCAGAAAGTGTTCAGTGTCTCCTGAGTGCAGTCATAAAGGTTCCAGAATATGTGAGAGATTTCTAGAACCAAGTAGAAAACACCTGAGCAGAGATGTAGTTCAGGAAACTTGGGAGGGGAGGTTTCTGTCCTCAAACCTGTCTTTTCCAGCATCACTATTTGACTTGGAAGTAGTGATTTTTACTGGCAAATAGAGAAATAATCTCTTTGTTTTCCAATTGTGATATTATTGCAGAGCCCTATGTGCTTGAATCAATCAAACCTGCAAAAGTCGCATGGCTAGAAGATCCAGGTTTCCAGGACAGCAGTTCTGAGGGTGATGATGAGCCAGAGGCATCAGAAACTGAAAAGGACCAAGAAATGCAAGTTATATTTGTATTTGTTGTCTACTTGGTTGTAATGGTTTGATACTATGAGAATATTAATAGTAACACTCAGGTCATGGGAAAATGACATCTTCATTCACACCTCTGAACAGTGGAAGTCATCTTAGAAAACCATTTCTTGCTGCATAGTGTAATAGCTAAAACTCCCAATAGCCCATTGATTTGAAGTTGAAAGTGGAAGCTGAGTTTCTCATTAAACACATGAGAAATTAATGGGGTCGTTTTGGTTTGGGCAAACCAAAGCCAATTTCGGTT